TTCTATTTTTCTCCCAGGTATTTTTGTTAATCTTCTCAATCATGGCCTGTTTTTCTTCCCATGACGCTATTTGTACGCAGACAGACTCGGCAATCGTAGCTACAGAAATTGCTTTTGGTAGGGTCAACTGGGGATCTTCCAACAACTTCTTTTTTACTTCCTGATCTATCATTCCAATTATGAAACGATCCCTGATGAGAGATTCAGCCAATTCCTCGAATTCACATTCCTGGGCGAGTTGTTTTAATTCCGTAACGAATTCAGTTATACCTTGACCTTCCTTTTGTACGCTTGTGAAAAATTTGTTTCTAATTTGTATTATATTTTTAAAGGGTTTGAAATGTTTTGAGAACATGTCGAGCATCTCTTTAATACTTGGGTAAGCTTCATTCTCTGTTACTCTGAATGTTTTATATATCGACACCGTTTTTTCACCAAGAATATGTTTCAAAATGGCTCGTTGACGTACCAATGGCATGCTCTCCAAGTCTGCAGCTATAGAAAAAAATTAAAATTCTTCACGACAAGTTTCCCATTTCTTCTCACCATTATATGGCACAAATTCGGCAGGTGGCTTTATATTTTCCATGTTTTGTAATTCTGCTCTTTTCTTTTAGAGACCTAGACAAAGCTTAAAAACAACATATCGGCTGTCGGCTGCGCCAATGTTAAGAATTATGCTAAAAAGACTAGAGGCGACAACCACTCATTGTCCGGTTGAAAGAATTTATTTCACCATCAAATAGTTCTCTTTTATACAGCGAGGAGTTTTACATATTGAAAGATCGCCATGGATTTGCATAGCGTTGAAAGATAAAATGATATTTACATGAAAATAGTTACAACATATCAAAAAGACAAAATTCATAGTATATGATAATACATCACATATCACAACATTGCCCAGCATACAGAAAGACATGTAACGCATGCGGGAAATTAAACCATTTCGCAGCAGTTTGTAGGACCAGACAAAATTCATAGTATATGATAGTACATCACATATCACAACACAGTGGTCGCCCATTGGAATGTCGCTGAGGTTTAAAGTGACCGGACTTTACCCTCCCGTCTCTCTCTGGGTCGACTGTAGGTTTGCTTTATTATTCCTGGAAGAGTATATATTATGACATGTTTATATACATTCATCTATATTTATCATTATTTGAGTCTTATTTATTCATATTTATTCAATTTTGTATTTAACCATATGTAATCTACTTATATAATTGCCTTATTCTGTCTGTATGTCTGAAGCTCACGGATAGAATGCGCGCCCATTGGCTGCCGGCGAACACGTGTCCTCCCTGCCCCCCTCTAGACAACCCTGTTATCAGCAGTGTGTTACATCCACCTGTCTATACAGGTCACCCTGTCTATAGCGGCCACTCTAGACACCCCTGTTATCAGCTGTGTGATACATCCACCTGTCTATACAGACCACCCTGTCTATAGCGGCCACTCTAGACAACCCTGTTATCAGCTGTGTGATACATCCACCTGTCTATACAGACCACCCTGTCTATAGCGGCCACTCTAGACAACCCTGTTATCAGCAGTGTGTTACATCCACCTGTCTATACAGACCACTCTGTCTATAGCGGCCACTCTAGACAACCCTGTTATCAGCTGTGTGATACATCCACCTGTCTATACAGACCACCCTGTCTATAGCGGCCACTCTGGACAACCCTGTTATCAGCTGTGTGATACATCCACCTGTCTATACAGACCACCCTGTCTATAGCGGCCACTCTAGACAACCCTGTTATCAGCTGTGTGATACATACACCTGTCTATACAGACCACCCTGTCTATAGCGACCACTCTAGACAACCCTGTTATCAGCTGTGTGATACATACACCTGTCTATAGCGGCCACTCTAGACAACCCTGTTATCAGCTGTGTGATACATCCACCTGTCTATACAGACCACCCTGTCTATAGCGATCACTTTAGGCAACCCTGTTATCATCAGTGTGTTACAATCACCTGTCTATACAGACCACCCTCTCTATAGCGGTCACTTCAGGCAACCCTGTTATCAGCAGTGTGATACATACACCTGTCTATACAGACCACCCTGTCTATAGCGGCCACCCTAGACAACCCTGTTATCGGCTGTGTGATACATACACCTGTCTATAGCGGCCATTCTAGATAACCCTGTTATCAGCTGTGTGATACATACACCTGTCTATAGCGGCCACTCTAGACAACCCTGTTATCAGCTGTGTGATACATCCACCTGTCTATACAGACCACCCTGTCTATAGTGGTCACTTTAGGCAACCCTGTTATCATCAGTGTGTTACAATCACCTGTCTATACAGACCACCCTGTCTATAGCGGTCACTTCAGGCAACCCTGTTATCAGCAGTGTGATACATACACCTGTCTATACAGACCACCCTGTCTATAGCGGCCACCCTAGACAACCCTGTTATCGGCTGTGTGATACATACACCTGTCTATACAGACCACCCTGTCTATAGCGTCCACCCAAGACAACGTTTGTAAAATATATTCGCACTCGGGTAAACCCCGGGCGTTGCCCGGGCCATTCGTCTAGTCTTATATAAACGATATACTGAAGAAGTTTCAATCTCAATCTCTCAGAATTCAATTCAGCCTATAACGGCGAATAATATTGGTATTCCAATTTTTTACAAGTTTTTTCGAACTTTTGGGACAACCTTGTAGTTTGCCTTTTAATTTTTAATAAAATATTAAAAAGCTCAGGACGTATAGAAACTTGTATATCAATAAGATAAAAGATTAAAATATTGTGAAAAAGTCAATTCAATTTTACTTCACAATCAACACCTATATTACCACTTTATTTAAACACGTATTTCCCCCTTTTTGACAAGGAAATTACTAAAGAACTCCCCCATTACCTGCTTAATTTTACAGCCCTTGATGCAGGGATGAAGGCCCTATATCAACAATATAAATGTATCAACACTTCACCCTACGTATTGCTTTCAAAAATATCAGCAAACAAATCTAAGGCAATAGCTTACTATAAATATTTTAGATCATCATTATGTAAGGACCAGTCAACAAGTGAATGACTTTGAGACGAAGAGTAAAGCCAGTACAATTTCTATGTAAATAACACAAGATGATTATTACCTTACCCAATTGTGAGAATCTGTATGGGGCAAGTCCCTAATAAAGGCTTTTGTTTGTGTGTCTTTTTCCCCCTTTTAATTTTTTTTCACTGATTTCTAAGCATATATAGGTAAATCCAAACATTCCTTCAAACAATTTACACCTTCCAGTAAGATTTCGTTGATTAAATAATAGAGTTTAAATGTTTAGAAATAAAGTTAAAAAGACAGAGAAGTAGAAATTAAGTTGATATGCTCAACCTCTCAGAACATTATCTACTTTAAACACAAAGGTAACCCTACAATAAAGCTCTCTCCTTTTAATAGTTTAATCTAATTATATAAAAACACTGAAAAAGTTAAATTATATATAATTCTATATTCCCATAATAATAATAATGATTACCCATTATAAGAAAATATTTGGAAAGGAACCCATTTCGGTTAAAATTATTTCATTTCAAAACGCTATCAGTGAATGATTAAAATAAATAAATTTGGCAACATTGGCTATTAACTCATTGAATTTTTTTAATCTTAAATTTTAATGATAAAAATATAAGTACAAACTTATCTACTAATTATATATAAAAACATCCAATTAAGATAATTAAAGTAATTTTCGAAATTTAATAAGTAATGATAATCATTATAAAATCTACAAGTTTATTATAGTTTTTATATAATCTAATATTTATAATTACTTAGAGGAAAAATATTTTCCATTAAATTGTTTTTTTTTTTTGTTTGTTATGTGGGCAATTTAACCCACCTCCATTATTTGAACATTTCCTTCGAGACAGTTTTACATTATTGATTATAAATTTTATAGAATGATTATTTAAAATACAATATAATATAACACGGCTTCTGACCGTAAAACGAAAATTGTAATTATACCGCGAATGTTTCTTTTAAACGAAAATCCGAAATTTATTTCAAAGAGAAATAGCGATTATTTCTAACTTTAAGGATGAAGTATGATAGGATGAATTGTGAAGAGTAATGATAAACGGAAAAATAAAAGTATCCAGGGATGGGAATCGAACCCACAGTGTTCCGCTTACCGGGCAGATGCCATGTCCACTAGGTTACCCTGGACATAATTATGATTATTATTGATTAATTACATATTATACATTCGAAAGAAGCTAGAACCACTAAGAATATAGGGTTTAAAGTATTGAAAGTACAATAAATGTTAATACTGGTAGATTAAAATAGGCGAAACCGCTGGAAGAATTCACCACTGATGAACCAAGCCCTCCGAATATTTTTTTTCATCGCAGTAAGGACAGTAGAAGTTTGATTTATTTGTGAAAAGAAACATTCGTGTCTTAATGTCTTCATTTGTTATATATAGATGGCGTGTTATTGCTTTATATTGATTTACACCTAACTTGTCCCTATTATTTGCGGAAGAGCATTGCTCAATGCAAATATTTGAATGTAATTCTACTGTCCTAAAAGCTTATGTCCATAGTTTACTTGAATAACATTTCTAAGATTCCACCCTTCAGTGTAGCATATATAAGCAGAATGATCCAATACAGAATCTAAAGAAGTGCTCTGGTAGATTAAATTGGTGAAACCTCTGGGAGGGTTCACCACTAATGATTCCGAGCCCTCCCAATATTTTTTCATCACAGTAAGGACAGTAGAAGTTTGATTTATTTGTGAAAAGAAACATTCGCGTCTTAATGTTTTCATTAATTATATAATAAATCTTGTAAAACGACAATTGAAAATTATCCCGCATTAGTTTCTTTTCAACGAAATAACTAATGCGGGATAATTTTCAATTGTCGTTTTACAATCACAAGCCGCATTATATTATATTGTATTATAAATTACTTGATGTATTATTTACGAACGCAAAATATGTCCAGGGTAGCCTAGTGGACATGGCATCTGCCCGGTAAGCGGAACACTGTGGGTTTGATTTAATCCCTGGACACTTTTATTTTTCCGTTTATCATTACTCTTCACAATTCATCCATTCATACTTCATCCCTAAGGTTAGAAATAATCGTTATTTCTCCTTGGAATAAATTTAAATGTTTCGTTGAAAAGAAACTAATGCGGGATAATTTTCAAATGTCGTTTTACAAAATCAAGCCGCATTATATTATATAATAAATCTTGTTGAATGAGTACCATGTGTTGAATTTGTTTAGCCATCCTAAAACACCTTTAATATCCACTAGACAAATCTAGTTATAAAATATCACATGCTAATTGTTGATCTATATATATATTGCGTATGATATTGTTTTTTACAGCACAATACAACAATGTTGGCAAGTTTCTCTAGAGTGGAATGTCGAGGTGACGAATCCACTCCAGGGCCTCCTCTGTGCACCGGTGGATATCCCCAAGTGTTCCCTGGAAGAATCTTCGAGGACAGTCCCTTAGGATATGGTGCATTGTTTGTATTTGTCCACAGTCGCAGTTCTGGTCTGGACTCATGTTCCACTTATTTAGTAGGTAGTTGCATCTACCAGTAGAGGTCCTGATTCTATTGAGGGTTGACCAGGTCCTCCTAGGTAGGTTGTAGCCGGGAGGTTTGGTGTTAGGGTCCTCCACCAGGTCTTTGTTGGCGATGGCAAGATTGCTCCATCGGTTTCTCCACTCTTCTTTAAGATCTACATTTTCATCGGCCACCCATGCAGGATTCCTTGATATTAGTCGAGTTGGGGGAGGAATTTCGAGAACAGTGTTGATTGGAAGCTTAGTGTTAGCTTTAATTTTACTGAGAAGGTTGGAGGTAGATTTCTTTCTTCTGAGGTCAGGAGGTGCTATGTTAGAGAGATATGGGAGCCAGTCTATAGGGGTAGGTCTCATGTTTCCCGTTATTAATCTCATAGTTTGGTTAAGTTGAGCATCTATGCTGTCTGTATGGGAGCTTCTTTCCCACACAGGGGCGCAGTACTCCGCAACTGAGTATACTAAGGCGAGGGCAGTCGTGCGTAGAGTGTCAGCACCACAGCCCCACGTGGTGCCTGCCAACCTAGTCATGATATTATTCCTTGTTTTTAATTTATCTCTCGTTTTTTCAAGGTGTTGGCGAAAAGTGAGAGATCTATCAAGGGTTACTCCCAGATATTTGGGGCATGGATCATGGCTGAGTGGTTTGTTGCAGAATGTGAGTTTCAAGGGTCTATTGGCTTTATGGTTATTCAGATGGAATACTGATGAGACTGTCTTGGAAGGGTTGGGAATCAGGTGCCATTTTGAGAAGAAATTCTCCAATTTCTTTAGGTCTTCATTGAGTATCTGTTCCAGAGTTGAGAAAGATTGTTCTTGGTGAAGAAGAGCTATATCATCAGCATACAGAAATTTTTGATATATAATTTAAGAAATATGCATTGGGGGTCAGTGGAAGGATGGTCTAAACCGTTGGTTTTCGACCACTACGACCCGGGTTCGATTCCCCCATTGAACACTTTTTTCTTATTTAAAAAAAATGCTCCATTAGCCCCCGATTCTTGCAAAAAGTCCAACCCCACCAACGAGTGCAAGTAACCAAACGTGGCTTTGACACATTTATAATTGCAAAGTCGAACAGCTTTTCACATGTGTAGACATGTGGTTCACTTACAGTAAAAGCAGTCGCTTTCTTCTACCCACCATGATTATCATGGCCTGTACCACGTGTACTAGGGATAAGTAAAAAAATAAATATGCAAGTTCGCTAAAATAATTTGTTCCAAAATCACTTTATTAGGTACCGCTATAAAAGAACAACCTAGTTTATGACATTTGCAACAATGAATAATATTTGAAGGTTATTCACATATTAAACAAAATGTTAACACAGGGTTTGATCCCGGTTCATGGCTGTTGGGAATCGAGGGTGTTATCCACTCGTCCACCGACTCTTTTATTCAAATATAATTTAGAACAAGAAATTGACTATCGGCAGTTTTTGCCGATCTGAATGGGGACTTCATTGACCTAAAATTCTGATAGGAAGGGTAATGGACCGAAAGTCCGTCGTTTTTATTGGTTCTATCGGAAAATAATTAACTGATGAGACTAGATCGGAACACGGAATTTGCATATCTCTACCTCCTTTCCCTCTTTTCTCTCTGACGTTCAGATCAATGGACTCAGTTGCATAGAATATCGTTGGCTATTTTATCACTTATTGTCATCTAAACAAACTGAAGGAATCTTTCTTTTGTTGATTATATAATTGAGAATATAATAATAGCATGTTCACATATCATATTTTAATCTCCATTTATCTTTTTTCCACATGGAAAATTAGGGAAGACAGACTTCAAGATGATACAGCAATTTATTTTAGGCAAGAAAAACTATGAATGATAAACGAAAGATAAGCAATGAGGGAAGTTTACAGAGTAGCAAATTTTCTTTTGTTCATCCCTAGTACATGTTGTACAGGCCATGCTAATCATGGTGGGTAGAAGTAGGCGATTGCTTGAACTGTAAGTGCACTATATTTTTACACGTGGGGAAAACAGTTCGACTTTATACTTACAAATGTGTCAGAGCCTCGTTTGGTTACTTGCACTCGCTGATAGGTTTGGACTTTTTCAAGAATCGGGAGCCAATGGAGCATTTTTTTAAATCAGAAAAAAAGTGCCCAATATGGGAATCGAACCCGAGTCGTAGCGGTTGAAAACCAACGGTTTAGACCATCCTTCCACCGACCCCCTGTAGCAAAATATAAATATCAAAAATGATACTCTGTTAATAAAATAATAAATACTTTGCTGCAATATTCAAATCAACATACGCACGATTATGGTAAAAGATATATTTTGCAATCTTATACCAAATCGATTTATAGCTAGTCAATTCATATTGTATTGTGCCATCGACTACCCATCTTATTGGATCCTGGTAAAAGCTCAGTGACCTGTTCCTTGCTGGTTTGACACAATATAAACCGTATATAATGAATGAAGACATTAAGACGAGAATGTTTCTTTTCACAAATAAATCACAATTCCACTGTCCTTACTGCTATGAAAAAATATTGGTTAGTCTTTTTTGGCTCCTCAGTGGCGAACCCTCCTAGCGGTTTCGCCAATTTAATCTACCAGACCGCTTCTTTAGAGTTCTAATACTGTATTGGATCATTCTGATTTTATATGCTACACTGGTATCTTAGAAATGATATTTAAGTAAACTATGAGCATAGGCTACTAGCCTTACTGCTATGAAAAAATATCGAGAGGGCTTGGCTCAACAGTGGTGAACCTTCCCAGCGGTTTCGCCAATTTAATCTACCAGACCGCTTCTTCAGAGTTCTAATACTGTATTGGACGATTCTGCTTTTATATGCTACACTGAAATCTCAGAAATGATATTTAAGTAATCAATGGACATGAGCTTTTAGAACAGTAGAATTACATTTAAATATTAGCATCGAACAATGCTCTTCCGCAAACAAAAAGAGCATGTTAGGAAACCGAATATACCGACCCACCGCGGGGAGTTTGACCAAACACATCTCCACATCGTCCGCGTTCTTAGCGGAAGATAAGAAATATGTAGGGGATATGTAAAATTGTTGTTTTGTATGTCTATTTTATGTAAATTTTATTTGCTTTTAAAAATTCGTATTTGTTTGTTGCAAATATGCAAAATTTTTATTATCTAATTTATATATATTTTTTTCTATTTTATTGGATTCATTCTCATTCTTTTTGTTGTCTGAATATAGTGACAATAGCGAGGTATAACCTTAGTGATAACAATAAAACAAAACTTGATTTTAAAAGAAATGTTTATGTGGATTATTCTTAATTAAACACCACAAATACTTCACATGGATCCTCTATATTTCTCTAATATTGTCAGGCTATCAATCTGGAACTACAGTATCTCGCTGTGCCTTACATCACTACACGCAGACTTGCAGACTCTCTACATCATATTCAACTGAATAAACCATCATCATTTCATACAACATTGTTATACTTGATGAGAATATAAATAATAGACAAAACCGATTGCCTTGATGAGTTTCTTGTTTATTATATATTCTTCTCAAGCTTTCGAATATCACAAACCCTTCTACAAAACAAGACATTCATCTTCGGAATCCTTTTTGTTTATTATTTATGTATTTCAGAGGATATTACTTTTACATATTTGATGGTTAGAATTGATATAAAATTTATGATATATATGAATATGAAATAGCACTAATTAACTCCATACTCAACATACAGAGGGGGCTGTGTTCTGTTCATTAAAGTTGAACTTAAACAAAGGAACGTTGACATCGTACTGAAGTCTCTGCCAGCCTTTGTCTATTCGCACCCAAGGTTTGCGTTCTCGCTGAGTTCGCCTTACGAAAGCTGCGTTGACCGATAGACCGCTCGAATCAAGCTCCCTGCCAGAAACTGTTCTGGAGCTGATCCAGGATTAAAAAGTGAAACGGATGTGTATGCTTTTTATAAAGATAATTTATCAAATAGAGATGGCCTTCTAGCCTCGCTCGAAATCAAGCAAACCAGTCACAGCTCTAAAGGCACAATTAACTCAGAAGGCAGAAAGCCATCAAACACGCCAGAAAGGAGCCTATGGAGGGATGGCCAGGGCTGAGAGTCAGGAAACGGGTGAATGTAGACGCAGTTTTATCTGTTCCATCACTTAGGAATACAACAAGTCCGTGAGAATCGACCAATAAAGAAATGTCCTGTGACGTGATCCCGTGGCGTACAAATGGGGGATGGATCATCCGATTACGGACTGTTCTTAATGGCGCTGGATCCGCGCAATTCCTGGGATTACCCGCTCGCTGGACTTTTGGGAGATTTATTCCCCTTGTCTAATTGTAGGGATTTGGGGGGAGCTTCCTTTATTTACTTTCCCGGGATACCTGAAGGCAAACATCACGGAGTCTACAGCGGTTCATGACAGCGGAACATTCTTGTTTGGCAATTCTTCTACTTTTAAGATACATTAAATATCTAG